ACAAACTCGCTTATCGATTTATACATGGACCGAAATACTATTCCACCGTTCATCCTCGTCAAGAAAAGCTTATTTAAAAATTGAACAGAATTACAACTCATTCCCAAATACAGTAGAAAAACTCTTCGAGCTTACCGAGTTCTGAGCAAAAACTTAATCTGAATTACCTGTTACTAGTATTCTGATATTAAACTATTAAATATGTATTGATTTTCTTTGTTGAATACAAAAACAAAGATTTAAAAAAATATCAGAATGAACTCACATGTACATGAACCATTATACAATTTTCTCCAACGATATTCATTGGAAGCTCATTCGGTTTCACAAAAAATATTTCCTCTTTCTAAAAATTCATTTCATTTTCAAATGAAATAAAAAAGATGAGAAAAAAATTATGTCGAGCAATTTTGGCATTGCTACGCTTCCCTTTTGCCAAGTTTTCAGATCAAACCCCTAAAACTACTTTTTTATGCAAAATTATTAAGTTAAACCCTATACATTTGTTACGTTTGTTTAATTATGAATCAAAATGAATCATTGCGCGATTTATTGCTTTTTGAAGGTCATAGCAACAGTAACCATAAAATCTTAATTAAATATTCTGGAATTCACACCAACTTTTGCAAACCACAAAAGCCGTTTCTGCAAAACAATGCCAATGATAAAGTAAGAGAGATTCACTATTAAGCATAAAGAGGAAACAACTTCACAGGGTAAATGTACACTTATTTTGGGCACATGAAGACTACAAGTATACTTTGTCATCTCAATTATTCTTTCTAATCCGATGCCTTTTTTTATAGTCATGCTGCTTTCAACCAGTTATTTTCATGCAGTCGCTAACATACACAATACAGAAAGATTCTGGAAAAAAAAATTCAAACCTCATCGCCACTACATTTTGAAAAAGGTAACTTCCGCAAAGAATACAAAGTTGACGCACGATCATAAATTAGCGAGTCTAAGGTGCCAAAAAACTGTTCTTCACGTTTCAGCAAAATTTGGTAAATCACCATACATTTTGTTTTGCGATCCACCGTAAGATAACTTAAAAAACTTTTGTCAATTCGTCAAATTTTCTTAAAGATTAGTTGAAACTCTACACACTAACTTGTAGATGAGAAAATACATAGTAACACCATTCCTGTTTCTTCCTTTTTCCTATTGAATTTTCAAAATCCCCTTCTCGTTCTAATACTTTTATAAACTTCATTATGGTAAATAGTATCCAACATCCTTGTATCAATTTTAAGGCAGCTGCAACTTTCTTTGCAATGCAGCAGTATTTTTTCAAAAGTAATAAATTTGATATATATAAAATGATAAGAGTCAATTGCATAAAGCCTTTCTCAACAATAACTAAGCACTATTAATTTAAAAAATCACCCACTCATTTTTCGTTTGTTTCGTTACTTCTTTCAGTAATGGTTCCGTACTACCTTTTTTAGGTGGATATTCTTCCATCACACGAAAATCATAACGATAAATCGGTATATTTTCGTGTGGAATCAATCCCCAAACATTTGTGACGACATCCAGTAATTCAATCTTGCGAGTTCCTGGAGCTATTTTTTCTGTCAGACAAACTGGAGGCCCTGTGATCTGAAATATTTATGCCGGCTATATATATGCATACATAATTTTCTCGAAAAATCTTTAAAACCAAAATAAACCGGGAATATTATTTTATAATTAAGCAAATAATCATACCGGTGCAAAACTATTTAAAACTCAATATTCTCTTATGCTATCATAAAATAATATTGGTTAAAACTTACGCTTGTTTGTCCCATCTGCATTCTGACCTTCTCCACATCACTACAACCTGCTGAAAAGTTGAAAAATTATTTCAGTGAAAATATCGCTTTATGATTACTATTTAATTAGTACCATCAAAAGCGTAAAATCCTCTCCAAAAACATGTCATAAATCTTACTGACTTCACCGATGTCCACACCCTTTCCCTGCTTTTCTTCATTGGTTCCTTGGATGCCAAGAACTTATCGTGATTTAAGCTTCAACTTATTACTACCAATCTTACATATATTCACTTGATACAATGTTACAGTCCGACCGAAAAAAAGAATCCTCCTAACAAATATAATTATTTAAACCCGATGTATCGACTTAACATATTATCATAATACTAAGAATAATATTACATAACACTAAGAAATCAGACATAAGAAATTTTAGGTTTGATAACCATTCTATTCCTTCAACCTTCTATGCTACAAAAGTAATTTAATACTGATAAAAAATGGCCTTCCAATTGTGTCTCATAGAAGCTTACCTGCCATAATGTGTGAAATGAACCAGCGTCTTACCTAGAAATATAAAGAGTTTCATATGTGATGATTTAAATTACACAAACAAAAAGCAAATTCAATATTGCCATTGTTGTTTCGCAGTACTTTTCCTTCACTAATCGGTCCCTACTATCATCAACACCAAACATTATTTAATACCACATTTCCGTCCGGAATACAGAAAACCTGTTTGTCCTATTCTTTTCCTTTATTTCACATGATTGAACAACTGTCCGATGTCAATAATGTTCATTACTATGCAGCATTATTTCTAAAATTTAACATAGTAAATTAATCCTCACCCTTTACATCATTCAATACTTCTCAACTAATATTTTTTTTTTCTTTTTTTGAAAAATAGAGAAGAGTTCCAAATGACAAAAAAGCAACATGAATCAACATCAATTTTCAAATCGTTTAGCTCTTTTCCTTCACCTCAACTGAATTCTGCATTAGCTAATATACATTACAAACAAACATCAAACAAGTGAAGAAGACAGAAATAATAGGAATGAAAATGACGTCTTACTTACTAATTTCGCTGAAATATCATTCAATAAAAAGTGTAATTTGCATAATTAGTTGGAAAAGGTAACTGCAAAATGCTCTTGAAACCAGTATATATACATATATGATTTCAACAATTCAAATGGAACAGAGAAAATTTTTCCGATCATTCATTCATCCATTAATTCATTCCTCACTCGTTCATTCCTTCCCGCATTCATTCATTTAGTCGTTCATCCATTCACTCATTCATTCATTCATTCCCCTTCTCATTCACTTCCTCCCTCATTCATTCATTCATTTACTCAACCATTCCTTCACTCATTCGCTCACCCATTCATCTATCATTCATCCATTCATCCATTCGCTCATTCATCCATTCATTCATTCATTTACTCATTCATCCATTCAGCCGTTCACCCATTCATCTACCCACTACTGGAATCACCTCGCAAGAAATCATCCTTCAACAGTCACTACTACCAGACAATTCTATCATCAATCAGTCTCTCTCTCCCTCTCATTTTCTCAATTTACGGTATTATTCTTGTTAATAGTCACGTATGTAAGCCATTCTTTTCTTACACAACACACATTACCCTCCCCATCTTTTCCCCCCATTCCTCTCATCTTTTGCCCTCTCTCCTTTTCTCTATCTCGGACAGAGGCGTGGGAATTACCCAAATGAAATCGTCCAAAAACTGTAAACAAACATATCTCACATCACATTCACTTTTTTTTATTACTTGCAGAAAAAATTTGTATGAAATTCAAAAACATGGAATAGATGACTATAAATTATTGCAAAAAAAAAAAGTTATAAGTATCTAGCAACTAGTCAATAAATCATTCTTTAAATTATTGATAATAGAATTAAATTTTAAATGATTAAAAATTATCCTTCTAATATTAACCAAAACAAACGACTCCATAAATTTTTCATATGAGAAGAATCATTGTAACTGCAAATATAGTATATTCCATGATTTGTTCCTGTTTCATATGCAAAATTATTAGTAAATTTTTTTTTTTTTAATTTTTGTATGAATAAACATTTCCAAAATCATGTCCGTTAAACACTTATTAATCCTATCAGTAAACTAATAGTAACATCGTCGGTCTTTAATTTAACATATACAGTTTCATAAATCAAAATTAAATCGGCTGCAAACAATTCATGCTTTTTGCTTCCATCAAACGAACATGCATACAGAGGGAGGGAGAGAGAGAGAGAGAGAGAGGAGAGTAGCAAGATGTATCTATTTACTTGTTTCATGTTTTTTTTTTTTTTTTTCATTTCCTTTTCAAATTTGATACAATGCTCTTGCAAAAAAATCTACAACATAATAATAATATCGATATTGGAAGGAAAAAAAAAAAAGATGATAAAAGCATGTTGAAATATGAACGCTCAATAGTAATGAAAGATAAGATGCATACATCAAAGTCAAAAAAGTGAAAATCACAATCCACCATTACTGTAGAAATTCGAATTTTGAACAGAAATTCACAATATACACCTTCGATATATATATATTATATCATATATCATATATCACAATATACATCTTCGATATAATAATCATACAAATAATCCATTATTCCCCGCCTACCCTTCTTATGAAGGAATTGAAGTATGATAAATGAAATTGAAAAATGGATAATAAAATCTGATATAAACCCCAAAAGAAAAAAAAAAAAAAACCTGCCAACAATACACCTACTACATTCCTATTCTTGTACAGACAATTTTACGCGAACTGGTAACTCCGGATATTAATTTAAAATCCTTGATTCATACCTAACCAACTATCATACTTTGAACGAAATTGGATAAAGCCGATGTATACTTTCAATCGAAACCCAAATAAAATATGAATTTGTCATGAAATGACTGAAAATGAAATCACATGCAAACAAAATTCTTACTTCTTCATGTTTTCCGATACACTTTGTGTTACCTTTTCGATTTTTATAGCTTGCAGTTATTATGAGAATGTAAATTATTTACGAAAACGAGGACAAGATTGCATATGAAAGAAAACCCATCCAAATCCGGAATTCCGGAAAAAATGTAATTATTAGATGAAACAAACAAAAAATACAAAATAAACGTCACAGTTTTAAAGTGGTACAATAACAGGCAAAAGCAATCACAGGAACAAAACTTTCTTTTTCAAAGTGAATTAATTGATAACCATTAAATTTTGCTAACAATGTTAATTTAAATCATTCCAATAACTTCAGAAATTCATCCTAGTTTTGATACAAAATAACCAATAAAAAAATTTGAATAATCAAACGATATGTAAGAAATCTATTAACATAAGGAAGGAAATGAATGAAAAAAAAAAGCTGAAGAATGAAATTTGCTTATCAATTACTTTAATTCTCTGGTTTTATTCAGATTAACTGGACAATATTTGGCAAAAAATTGCTTATCTTATTTCATCAAAATCTTTCACACAGCTCAGATAAAGATTCTTTTGTTCGGAAAACTGAGATATTTTGTAAGTTTCTCAACATTCTCAATGTATAAACAAAAAAAAAAAAAAAATGGGCATTACTATTTCAACAAATAAGTATGAAGAATGAAATGGCTCTCATAACAACAACACTGCTTCAAAAAATCACAAAAACTTTTAGACGAAAATAATTAAGACACTATTTTTAAAAAAATGCACAGCATTCTTTCTTTTATATAGACATATAAATAGTAGAAAATGGATCATGAATTTCAATTTCAGGGAAAAAAAAATTCCCTTCCTTGCACTAATATATGCATATAAATATATGTATATACATATTCCTGTCCTATGAACAATCATAAATGAGATGGAAGCAATCGAATTAAAATGATTTCAAAAACTGAATGCATAATACAACTGGTAAATTCTCATCTTCTCCAATTCATTCAATTTACATCATCAATTGATTTGAGGACTAAAAATTAGTAAAGAAGAATATGTAGCGGATAAAACGCTTAAAAAAAAAAGAAAAGAAATTGACAATTAGCCGATAAAAGAGATAGGTAGCATTTGTGAAATTAGCAAAAAAAAAAAAAAAGCAAAGCTATTTGATATAATGGTGCAAGAGATGGCTGCAATAATGAAACAAAAGAGGAAATGATCATATGACGAGGGAATGGGCTGTAATTCTCTTTTTCTATGCTGGTCATTGAAAGAGACAATTTGCTACTGATGATCAAAGCAGAATTCTATATCAATGACAGTACAGTAAATCCGACACAGTTTAAGGGTTAAATTGTCTGCTGTTTTTATATTGTGCCTTATTTATAGAACTCTGCTTATTAAATGAACTGATCTTTCTGTACATGTAAATTCTCGACTTCTAAAGAAAAAAATGTTTCCGAATTAAAAAGAAATTACTTCTCGATGAATATGAAATAACTTATAGGCAAAAAATATGAGCTGCAAAACAAAAAGAAAAGAACATTGAATTAGAAACGGAAAAGACAGATTTCTAAGAAAAGTTATCTGGGTATGAAAATAAATGATAAACTTCCTGAAAAACTACAAAAAGTATTTCTGAAGACAAAAGATTGTCTCAAAATAAGTTAGTAAACAAACAAATAAAATCATCAATTCTTAAACCGATACACTCATTTCTATCCATAATCCCAGTTAACTATAATTTATAAGTTAATCATAATCACAGGAGAATTGTCGAACTTCTCACTCGATAATTCGATTGCTTCATTTCAATTGTAAATAGTAAAAATAAGCACAACCACGGGTTCCATATATTGAGCATATTGAAAACAAAGAACCACCTCGACAACTTATCACTGATATAATAACATATAAGTATGCTTGAAGAAAACTATGAGAATAATATTTCATCAGAATTGATTATCTGATCCTAAAACATCCTCAATATATCAATTTTTTTTTGGCAGTCTAGTAATTATGACAACTTGTTCTTTCAGTCGTATGAAATTGGGTAAAAACAAAAAATTCACATGCAATTCTCACAAATCGCGCCTGATCATCACTGCGATTCGTACATACTAGGTTTAATAGAAATGTGTCTGAATGACAGATGCAAATTTTGCTCCGCAAAAGATTTGCATAATTAAGTTTTCCAATACAATCCTAACCATAATAAATTTCTTATAGGAAGCCTACAGAGAAAAAAGTATAAGCTATTGATTATCCTGAAATAGCTACAAGCTTCTAAATAAAACAAAAATCTTTACAGAGAAAGCTGCAAGTGAATTGAAAAAAATATCATTCAAATATCAACATAAAGAATTAGATAAAACAGCACGTATACTTGCGAGTGCTGCTGCACAAATTAAAATTCATAAAAAAATTTCAAAGAGAATTTTCTAAAACCCAAAATTTCTTACCAAATTGAAAATCCCCAAACTTCATCAAGTATTATATATATGTAAGGAAAAATGGAGCAAACTGTTCCATATTTTCGCACTCTATCATTTCACTCGATTCTGTAAAGCCAAAAATAAGTTCTCGAAAATTCTCAAGTGGGAGTAGCAATTGAACTAATAGTTACAAAAGCACTCATAGTAGCTAGAAATCCAACTGCGCACAGTGCAACATCATCCATTTTTCAACCCTAAGTTATAGTACAACAGCATGTCTTCTTCTGATGTCTCCTAATAACATCCGGAAAATCAGAGTGTCGCATGCTGTGCGTTGAAATAGTTGATGGTATCAAATCACCACTACCACCATTTTGTAGGATTGTCAATTCTGTTGTTCCAGAACTGCCTGAAAATCGAAAGCTTCAAAACGAATCAAAGAAATTATGCAAAAAAAAAATTATTTCAAGCAGACAACTCATACATAAAACTAAAATCCAATACTAGATTTCCTAATTTGATCATTTTACAAATGAATATGAATAAGTTTTGAATTAGATCTGCATTTCAATCTAGGATGTCTACGACGCTATAAGAATATATTTCCAAAGGATAGTATAGAAATTAAGCGCATCTATTTTTCGACTAGTTTATATTTAAATTAGAGCTACCGCAAGTTCATTAATTTTTTTTTTATAATTCTAAAGCACCGTTAAAACCTTATATCACTAATCTGGCACTATTTTTCAATGTGTACGCAATTTGATCCAGAAAAAATTTCGTTGTGATTAAAATTAACTGCCTTCTTGACTGAAGACGATGTATTTTTTAAGTCCCCAACTTACAATACATGATCAGATGAGCCAACAAACACCGCTACTAACATGCAGTAATTCTAAAATCTTCTGAAGACTATGAATGACTGCATAAAAGGTGATGTAATGCAAAGAGAATCTTTCCCGGTTAAATGCAACTTGTTTCTTCCTTACCTTTTTTCTTCTTCTTTTGACTGCTCCGAGTTCGCCCACCTCTTTGCAACTGCAAATTGGACTCATCGTCATCTTCAATACAACCATTTTCTTTATCCAGTTTTCGTAACCATTCATCTGGTGACATCGGTTTTGTTTTCTGTGATGACGGCTTGATGATCTTAAAGAATGGATTCTTGTCAAGAAGCAAAAAGAAAACCCGAAAAAATACTGCATTAATATGAAAATGCACCGAATAAGAAACCTTCGGTAAATATTGTTAAATCACGAGTGGATAACAGAACGATATCAAATAAAATGTTCTTTTGATAATTAAAATTATGGGTCTATTTTTCCACAGTAAAACCCAAAGTGGACTGCTACTTCAGAAGAAATTATCGGATAGTCAGCCATGCTTTACCTTGCTTTG